GGGGGAAAAAAATAATAATAAAAAAAGATTAAAAAAAAAAAAAACTTTGTCCGACCTACCGACCCTATGCTGAAATTTCATGTTACCGGAAACACATCTTTTTTTGTTTGGCCTAATATTCTCTTGGAGTGCACCAACTGTCTTAGGGCTACTTTGTTTTTTTTGTTTTTTGTGGGCTCAGTCGTGCCAGGAGTGATAGTCCATTCATGTTTTACTTGCCTGATTGTGACTTGAGTGTGAAACTGAAGCTCTGAGCTGACTAACACCGGAGCCACAGTATGTCAAAGACAGTGAACTGTTTTACTTCTACACTACGCATCTATCCGGAGCTGTTTAATCGGGTTAGTCTGCACAATATAATGTTATTGCAAGAGTTGGACTCAGTCGACTGTTTTCTATTTGAATGAAGTTGAGCCATACTGCGTGCGTATGCCACATGCATGCAAATGCATGGCACACGCACACTTTGTTGGTTCAGGTTCTTCGTGTCTGCAGTCAGCAGACGAGCAGCTTGACGATTCTGCTGCACTCAAAAGTCGCATTTTATATTAATATTGATCACGTGTTTATCATTATACATATTGGTATTGAATTATCGCTAAATCCTAAATAGGCATTTGTTTGCTATTGAAATATGAGCATGAAGTACATCTCCTTTTGAGTCTCAACCACATCATTTATTTTTATTTTATTTTTTTTATTCAATCTGTATTACACCCCGTTTGTGTGCAGTCAGGATTTAGAGCAAAGTTTTCAGTCTGAGAGTAAACTCAGTACTGTATTTTTAATTTTAACATTGATCCTGTTTGTATTGGAAACTGAGCGCTAGTGTATACACTACCAAGAATTTGGGTGTGGATTTAATGTGAGGGGCTACCAATTTGATAAACACTTGAGGGGGAAAAAAAAAGCTCGATTCTTGTTGTCATTGTGCCCGCTTGCTTGTCACCATGAACTCTATGGTTTTGTCATGTGCTACAATGCTGACCTGTGTACTGTACTTGTTTTTCCCCCCCTCAAAGACTGTCCATTCCAAATCTGCACCAAATCCAAGTATTCTTTCGACCAAAAAAAAAGCAATAAAAACAGCCCACTGGTAAATTGTTCTATTTTTATTGTATTATTTTTACAATAGCTGCACTCAAAAAAAATTGAACCATCTCCTCGGTAAGCTATTTTTAGAACTCTCTGGCAGACTGCTCGTGTGGTCCTTGAGGGGCTACCTGTCCACAGGCCCCATGTTGATGACCCCTGTTTTCGACATTTGGTAGTGTTATATGTCTGTGTAAATCATTTGTCACCACTCACTTAGTTCTTGACTGATTTGTCAACATTATTTGGTTTTTCTGTTCGCTCAGCAACCTTCTCCCCCTGAGGAACCTGACCCTACCCCTCCCTCAAAGGACAAGGACAGTAATGCTAATAAAAAGCCCCTCAACAAAGGGAAGACTGCTGCTGGCAGTCAACAGGTAGATGTGGAACAGATGTGCTCCTGATGAGACAATTGTTGCACAACTACCACTAATCAAATGTTTCTGTGAGCTCTTGTTGTCAACGAGCAATGATCCAGCAAACCTAGAAAAGTTTAGATAGACTAATAAGTGTGCACTAAGCTTTAACGTTTGTCGTGACCTTTGCCCTGGTGTTTACACTGTCCAATCCTGAGATTGTAGTCACTAATGGTGGTGTTACTATTTAAATGTATGATCGAACTAATACAGTCTTCTCTCTGATGTAAAAGCTTACTAACTCATCCACACAGCACTTTTAAAGAAATAAATCCTTCTGACAAAGTATGATTCAAATTGCAGTACCTGCATGCTTCAAAAATCGAAACACAAATGAGCGATCACGGTGTTTTCATATCACTCCGCTGCATGCATGAAGTTGTTGCATGTTTCGGAACTAATCATCATCAGTCATTTTCCACTTGTTTTGACTGTCACATACATATTTCTTTTCAGTGTGATGTACATGTTTTGTCATAGAATAAATGTTTTGCAAGGTTAAACTGATAGTGTTAAAAATGTCTGACATTTTGGCCTCGCCTCACTTTTATTTCAGAGTGCAACTACCAAGAAGCCTGCAGCCAAAGGAATGAAAGACGATGAGGATAGGTCTGGGCCCCTCTTCATCCTTGTCCCCAATGCTAAGGAGCAGAGGATCAAAGAGGAGAAGCAACTGAAGGTGCCTGACTGTCTGCTGTGATCTCTAAACAAGAGAGCAGAGAACATTTAGCTGTTAGTCATGCACTCACTATTGAGGGAAAATCCAATTCAGTGAATGGAAAAGCAGACACAATGTAATACTATTACTTGCTGGACAGAGTGTTGTGAAATATAATGGTACGCAGTATCACTGAAACAGGGAGAAGTAAAATGTCACACCTGCATTCAGCTTTGATCTTGGTTGTTCTCTCCTAATAGATTTTGAAGTGGAACTTCATCACTCCTCGAGATGAATATTTGGAGCAGCTTAAAACTCAGATGTCTACCTGCTTTGCCAAGTGGCTCCAGGACGAACTCTTCCATCTTGACTTCCAGAGACACGTCAAGGCCATTAGTGTCATGATTGAGGTGAGGGCGCATGTGTTGTCGTTTCCTTTTTCCGAAGAAATTTCAGGCATACGCACAGCTCCTTGTCTGTTTGGATCCATAGATCGCACTGTGAATTATCTCAAGCAGTCACTGCACTTGTCTTATTTGGCAGAGGTTGGAGAGTGAGAGTGATGCAACCATAAGCTGTCTGGACTTAATTCTGAAGTGGTTCACTCTGCGCTTTTTTGACACCAACACCACGGTCCTTATGAAAGTGATGGAGTATTTGAAGCTGCTTTTTACCATGCTGGACAGGGAGAACTATCATCTCACGGAGTATGAGGCCAACTCCTTTGTCCCCTACCTCCTACTCAAGGTAAGCACACACTACACCTGGCTAGGCAAGCCATTTTTCAGTGTATAAACTAAGCCTTGGTTCTTCTTTCTTTGTTTTCAAAGGTTGGGGAATCTAAGGATGTGGTTCGCAAAGATGTCCGGGCAATACTGGCCATGCTATGTAAGGTTTACCCTGCTTCAAAGGTCTTTCCTTACCTCATGGATGGTACCAAGTCCAAAAACTCCAAACAAAGAGCTGGTGAGTCACTCTAATAAATCAAGCTAACTGTCATTGCTTTACATTATTCAAATATTATTGCTCGCTGTGATTGCAAGCATTCTTACAATGTGTCTTTGGATTGATGTCTCCAGAATGCCTTGAGGAGTTGGGTTGTTTGATAGAAGGCTATGGAATGAATGTATGCCAACCAGCTCCAGCCAAGTCTCTGAAAGAGATTGCAATTCACATTGGTGATAGAGACACTTCTGTCCGAAATGCTGCTCTAAACACGGTAGTGGCCGTCTACAACGTCTGTGGAGACCAAGTCTATAAACTAATTGGGAATGTAAGTTTGAGGATTGCAGTCATCCAGGCTTTCAAATTTATCTCCAAAATTGACATTGCACTACCCACTTCACTCATTTCCAGTTGTCAGACAAAGATATGAGCATGTTGGAAGAGAGGATCAAACGTTCGTCAGCGAGGAAGACGGCTGGCGCTCCAGCCAAGCAGAGTGCAAATGAGCGGTCTCCAAGAGATCATTCAGCGAACCCCAATGGCACTTTCCTTCGCAAGTCTGCACAGGAAGAACCCAACAAACTCAAGTAGGTTACTCTAAGGAACATTTGCACCATCAATGTTAGTTAAATGAAACAATGTTTTGACATTTGAGTGCAAATTTATGAAGGATCATATATCGCTGGTGTCAGGCGGAATCCTCGTATCTCCAAAGTCTTCAGGAGACCCAAAAAATATCATATTTGTTCAGCCGTTAACGTTGCATCGTCAAAGAGACAAACTAATTTGCAGCACTTGATCAGTAATTTGTAAAAATAACACATTCATGTGAACTGACCAATTGTAAATTTTGATTTTAACATTAAAGTAGTAAGTTATGGAGCTAATACATTAGCGTAGAAGGCCTTAGTAAAAAATATGACAACGGTTAATTTCCTAAAAAGTATGATTGTAGGCTACTGCAATGTGCACCCCATATCCACAGTGAACAGTACGCATGCAGAAAAAGATGTAAATGTTTTGCTTAATGTCCTACCTTGCTAACATAAAGAGAAGTTTAAAATTTAAAAAAGATTAAATGTGTAGAATGTATTTTGAAACTGAACAGAGATTGGCGTACCACTGGCGTACCACCAGATGGATGCCACCATCCACTATTGATACTTAGTCCCACACTGCACTAATCTGTTTCATCTCAGAATATGTTTCAAGATGTCGATTAAATGCCTCTTTCCCTCTTTCACCCCCCGCCCCCTCACAGTCTTGCATGCTGGGTTGCTCTTAAAAGATGTACTATAGACAGATGCATTAACAAGAGTAAACATCGGGGCCCGAGCTTGACCCATTGCTTATTTAAATTTTCCATCTTACTAAGACAATTTTGAATGGTCCCATTGCTCAGTGAAATATTCTTAAAGGTGTTGTTAAGTGAAATGAGAATTTATTCAAAGCCCTGAATTTAAACATGTGAAACACTTTTCAGATGAATAAGAATGGATGTTGTGAGCCAGTGTGACTTGACAAATGCACTTCTGAATCAATGGGCAAAGATTCCCCCTACACATTCTGAACTCCTGTAGGAGTGAAATGAATGAAATGGGCGACAAATCTCCTTAATTTTCTGTTTGCGTTCCCATAGCTGTCAGGGCCCAGTACAATACTTTCTTTCCCCATGTATGGCACTTACCTGACAGGATCTGACAGTGAAAGCAAATGTGTGTCTTGGGTGCAAGGTGGGCCTGCTGCCTGCATGTCTCTTAACTCCTCATCTTTTCTCCTGTGATTTCCTCCTATTCTGTACTCTTCTTGCCTTCCTTTCCGGAGCAGACTTATGTATCGCACTTATAGGATGTGAGTACATCTTCCTCCTCGTCTTCCTCCTCCTGTGTCTGTGTCCCTTGCTGAGAACGTAAAATCACATTTTATCATTTAATAGAAATGGACACCCATCTTTTGGATTAGCCTCATTCAAAAGAGAGCGCGGTACGAATGGTCATCCAATTTTCCTTTTGGAATTCTTTTCTTCAATACTCATCCAGTTTTTTAATTGCACTGCATAACATCAAAAGGTCAAAATTGTTTCAACCAAAAGTTCATTTTAGCTATTCATGCTTAAACATGTGTAACATTTGTTTTATCTCGATCTCATGGTAAATGGAACCTAAAATCTAGCTGTTAATGATGTGGCTGATTTCTTAAATTATGTGTAACTAGGGGCTTGGCTATGTTTATGTTGACATAAAAGCAAGGGTTCAGGAGCTTCATGTAGGTGAGCCATTTATTGGCAGCATTGAACATGATGGCCCTTTTCTACCGTGCTAGTGCTAGTTCTGGGCCAGTGTCCAAGTTAGCAGCAGTTCTTTCTTTTTCCACCACCTAAATTAGCTCTAGCTCGGGTGCTTAAACTGGCCCCAATTATTTGATGGGCCAGACTCTGGCACCAACTACATCAAGGGGCAGGGTTATCATGACGATCGCAGATGTAGAGGAATGACTCAATGGACAACCTAAAACAACCTCCCGCGATCGACCCGTTACTGCACACGCGTGCATGCGTGACTGCACATGCGTGCATACGCATGCACTTACACCTACTCGCATGCCATAGTGAGCAACAGCCACAACGGGCCCAAAAATGAACGAATCAGAAAAATAAAGTAGACATAAGAGTTTGTGAAAATCACTGCCTACTTTCGTCGAGACCTGACGCGGAGGGATGGGACGTACTTTTGCAGCATGTTAACTATCGTAGCTCACATGTAACATCTTAAAATATTTCTCTCTGCCCTTCAGATACGCATACTTTGCCAGTACCCTCGGTGAATTGTACATGAAACGCTGTTTCTTTTACAAAGGCCACCTGCCCGGCATCCCGCCGTACTAATAGAAACGTTTGTGGAAAAGGGTTATGAGAATATGGTAACGTCTTTGTCAAAGCTAAGTCGTTTTAGGTGTTGGCTAGTTGAGGGGTAGCAACATGTGAATTTGACAAAAGGAATTTGGCACCTGGGCTCATTTTTGAACAGACTTTATATACCATTGTATATCTAGAACAAATTTAGCTTTGTTTTTCTCCCCCCTTCTATAATTAGCTACATTTCTTCTACTCCAAGAAGCCACCCCCCCATCAACTCCCCCCAACTTGCCTCCACCTCCACAGAAATATTAGGCATAATAAACCAACACTAATATGAAAGTGCTTTTATCCCGTTATAGGACGGTGGTGTGCACACTTTATCAACCTGAATTTTATTTTGTTTTTTATTTTTTTGAGTTGTATAGGTTATAAGCAGGGGTGCACATAATAATGTTGGTGTCAAATAAGCATCAGATGTTGTTTGGTGCTAATTTTTTTTCCCTCCGACGACCTGACCTAATGGATGACCTTAAAGGTATCGTCATGTATTCTGGGACTTCTCCAGTCAGGCTAGTATTTATTGGGGGGAGGGGGCGTGAATTGCGCCAACTGTGGTCCTCATGTTAGCAGTACAGTACTCTTAAAGTATTTTCTGCACAAAAAAGTAGGGACAATGAGGGCATGATTTATTTTTTGGGGTAATTGTTGACGTATTCAACATTCACTATTTAAATCATTTTAATGTAACTGAACTTTTTTTTGCAGTAGAGCACCCTGTGATCAGCTAAACTAATTTAGGAGCGTTCTCTGGGGCAGCGGTCCAGTGGCCAATCTTTTTGCACTATGGACAGAGATGATAGTCTCATCGGCGGCACTCCCACCAGTCCTTTACGAGGAGCCAGCTTTATCAAGCCAGCCGCTACAATGGTTGTTAATAAGCTGCTATGCAATGCGCCGTGAGGGGCGTCATCAAAATAAAAGCTTAACAAGTAATACAGTGCATGGATAACAATGCCTTACTTGGCTTTTAAGTTTACTCTTGGAAGTCATCATGACGGCTCACTTGACTTTGACTTGAGCCAACCTTGAGCTGACTGAGGTGCAATCAAGTTTACCATGCAAGAGCGCTCTGACATAGTTTAATCTGGTGTGCACATTATTTTCTGTACTCTTGCGTACCAGCACCCCACTTATGTACATCCCTGGATATAAGACATAGTGGTGGGAAAAAGTTAATTTATCCTTGACATTTTTTTTTTAACATCACAATAACCTGGAATGTGAACAGGGGTGTGGACCGTTTAAAGCCACTCTATGCAGACATGATCAGTAACATTTACATGTTCAATGATTTAACATCCTAAAGCTGATAAACTGCATCGTGAGCTAGTCCATTTTTGTTGTGAAAGAGTAACACGTCACCTCCAGCTCTCTCACTGGCTTCAACCAAACTCTAGAATTGTGAGGTTAACTTTGGCATAATATTTAGAAGTGTATGCCTTGGGTCAAAAGTTTCAAACCTCGATATAGCCCTGATTTGTTTTTATTTATTACTATTATTATTTTTTTGAACGTATGAATAGGCATTACGTCTTTGGTAAGGGCAATTGATTCAGTCAATCTATAAAATATCATTTAAAAGTCCTGCTCAATATACTCATATTAATTAATGAAATCAAAAAATCACCGTGCCCAGCTGATTAATACACACTTAACTTGACATACTTTTGTCTTCCCCAGTCAAGCCCGTCAAAATGCCCACCACAGTGAGTCCTCTCACATGCCAATCCCCAAGGAGTTCCAATTAGACCTGGACATGATTGAGATGGACCAGAGCAGAGTAAACGAGCTGCCGGATCTTGTCCAGCACAAGCTTGATGAGCTGCTGGAACCCATTGTGATCCCTGAGCCCAAGTATGTCTAACCCAGGCGCATAAGAGATACCTTGAACCGATCTTGCACATGGAAGTTAATGTTCATTTTAATGCTGCTGTTGTGTGTGTGCGTGCGTGTGTGTCGCTCTCTCTCACTCTCTTTAGGATGCGTGCCATTTCTCCACACTTGGATGACCTCCACAACAGCACTGCGTCCACCATAAACTTTGTCATCTCTCAGGTGGCCAGTGGAGACATTAACACCAGCATACAGGCACTTGCACAGGTAAAGATCACCGCTTGCCCTTTACTGTGTTGATTATCTCGACAGCTATAAGGCTTCGATTTAATATGCAAATTTCTTTTTATGAATCACTCGTCACCTCACCTGCGGCAAGTGTTTGGTCCTGTATGGATCACTGATTTTTATCATAATGGATTCTCTGAACAGCAACTCAATGCAGAAGAGGTTCAGCACCCAGAACACAATCGGGTCTCTACTTTTCATAGTCGCATTTTAGCAAACATTGGACATTTGAGCATTGTAATTTATCAAAACAGATTGCATATCATCAGATGTATTACTCGTTAACTTGGTGCAAGTAGCAAGTAGACCACAATCCAAGTTTTTTATTTTTAAATTGTTTTCATGCACACCTTGTTCCAAGTAACATTAACAATTTGCATGTTTGATTACAAATGTGTGCTTGTTTAATGTGTGGGAGACAAATGTGTGCCCTCCTGCGCAATTGATTTTTTTTTTCCTCTTGCGTGCTTGGAATAAAATGAATAAAAGAATACACTTGCTGTTTCGCTGAGTTTACTACAGTAGTATTGAAAATCTTGCCCCAGCAAGCATTGTTAATTGTCATCGCAAGTGCAAAATGAAGCAGAAATAACCAAATGGCTTAAAAAATACAAACAAAGCGACATATCTCTTGTGACCCTTTTGACTTTTTGGTGAAAAGCTCTATCATTCGCTTTTGCTTGTCTTCTCTGAAAGGGAAACGGATGCAGTTCTTCCCGGTAACCAGTGTCTTGAAAAACTAAGATGCAAAAACCTCCTGAGAAAATTGCCAAGTATTACATCAGTATGTGTGATATACCTATATTCATGGGGGAAAAAAAAAATTGGTTTGTCCTCATAGATTGATGAAGTATTGTGGCAAGAGAACAAGGCAGAGGTCATGTCAGGACACATTGACCAGTTCCTCATTGCCACCATCATGCAGCTGAGGCTCATCTATAATACCCACATGGCAGATGACAGGCTGGACAAGAAGGTTATATTTAAACTATATAGCTGCATCCTTGGCAACATGCTGTCTGTAAGTATCTTCCACAAATGAATGTTATTGGATGAGCCCGAGTTGGAAACACAGGTGAATTCCTTATTCTTGTCCTCAGTTATTTTCTTTGGAGTCTTTGGTGAGAGAGGCATCCATGGGTGTGTTGAAGGACTTGATTCATGGCCTGATAACATTGATCCTGGACAGCAGAGTGGAGGACACTGAGGAGGGGCAGCAGGTCATCAGATCTGTAAACATGCTCGTCGTCAAAGTGCTGGAGAAGTCTGACCAAACCAACATCATGAGGTAAATGAGCCCTCGGTGACAAACAGGACTCATGAAAATATCAGGTTGAACTTCAGTCTTGATTGAATTACAGTCATACCTTGGTTTTCGACCATAATCCGTTCCAGAAGGCTGTTCGAAAACCGAAACCACGCTCTATAAAAAAAAAAAAAACTTTATTGAACACGTCTGCTCACAAAGGAACGCTACACGAGGAAGCGTCACTTCCTCGTCTACCCGAGGAAACATCACTTCCTCGTGTAAGGAAGGCGAGAGGAGTCAAGTGGCGCATTCAAGTGCGCTCAGTTTGGTCGAGAACCGATTTTCGATAGTAATCCGAGGCATAAAAAACTCGAAATATTTGGTCGAAAACCGATTTGGTCGAGAACAGAGACGTTCGAAAACTGAGGTTTGACTGTATTGAGAAATCATTTGTGGGGTTGCATTTTTCTTCAATATGAAGAGGAACAAAAACAAGACTAACTACAGCAACAATAATTGCAAAACATAGAAAAACAATTACAGTCAAATAGGGGACATTGTGCCAGTTTTGAAATGTATTATGGAGTAAATTTTAAAATTTACAGAGTGGGAGTTATCAAGCAGTCCATTTGAATTTTTTGTAGGGCTGGACGATAATTCAGTATGTATCGCGATAGACACACGATCAGTATCAGTTGAAATTGCACTTGATATAATATAGATTGAAAAATGTGTTTGTGTATTTTTTATTTATTTTTTTCTTCATGTAATGGCAATCTTTCAATCTGTTGAATCTGTGCAGTGCCCTATTGGTGATGCTTCAAGACACTATGGGCCCAACAGCCGGGTCCCCCATGTTCTCTGAACTGGTGATGAAGGCAAGTCTCTCAGCTAAGAACACAAAACTACAAGTGTAGACGGTGTGCTTAAACAGAAATCAAAGTTCATGTGACGTGTGTTTGTTTACTCAGTGCCTCTGGAGGCTCATCCGCCACCTCCCGGAGACCATCAACAGCATCAACCTAGATCGGATTTTATTCGATGTTCACAACATCATGAAGGCTTTCCCCAAAGAGAAACTAAAGCAGCCAAAGAGTGACGTTCCACACAGAACCCTCAAGACTCTACTACACGCGCTTTGCAAGCTTACTGGGGCTAAGGTAACAAATCTTAATGTTCTCTAACAGGCAATGTTTTGTTTTCCTTCTTCCTGACTCATTTGCCTTTGAAGTAAAATCTCATTTTAGTAACATGCACTAAATACTAATATCAGTGAACAGGAACCATGACAGCGGAGGTGCGCTGAATCGTAAATGCCACTCTAAGCACATAAGAGTGAACAAACATTTTAAAATGTTGAAATTGGATGTTTTTTGCTTTTGTTATACAGTATTGTAAAAATGTAGTTACTCAGCTCTTTCTTAATCAACAGATCCTGGACCACTTTTCAATGATTGAGAATCGAAATGAATCTGAATTAGAAACCTATTTAAGGCGGGCTGTCAAACACTCTGGTAACCTGTTTGGTAGCAAGAGTGACCGAGGTAACGAGAAGGGTGGTCTGCACATGGTGAGTAACACGATTCATGTATATGAATGTGTATCTAATCAGTGTTATATTGCGTTTAAGTAATAAATGTATGCAAATGGTATTACCATTTGAGGTTAGTTAAATCCAGAAGACTGACAGTATACCGTATTGGCCCGAATATAAGACGGGTTTTTTGGGGTTTTTTTTGCATTGAAATAAGAAAAAGTGGGGGTCGTCTTATATTCGAGGTCTAGACATTATACCCATTCACGACGCTAGATGGCGCCAGATATCAACGAAGCGATTGCTGAACTTGACTCCCCAGGCCAAAGTGACCCCCTGCCATGAAGAATAAAAATAAAAATAGCGGTAGCACGAAGAAGAAAAATAAAAAAATAGTGGTAAAAGGAAAAGAGAAGAAAATAATATAAGAGATAACAGAAAATGGAGAAACGTAGTCACAATCTGGAGAAAAGTGGGTCGAAGATCGGCCAGGTGAACCGGCAGCTGAGGAGAAGTTATGATGTAATTTACATTTCAAAAACCAGAAGCCATTCATTTACGAATGTGATTGCACTTTAGATTTGAATGAGGCAAAATAACATGCCTTTTCTCTCAAATATATTGTTGTAATCATTTGTTTCAGATGTATTGTAATTATTTTCTGTATAAAAATTAATTTGGTGTTCAAAAAGTCTTTTTTTCAAACTTGAGATTTGAAAAAGAGGGGGTCGTCTTATAATCAGGGCCGTCTTATATTCTGGCCAATACGATATTATGATTGCATGAATCTCCAATATATTCGAGTTTTAGATATTCATCCATCCATCTATTTTGTAATCTGCTTATCCTCACGAGGGTCGCGGGTGTGCTGGGGCCTATCCCTCTCTTCGGGCAGTAGGTGGGGAACACCGTAAACTGGTTGCCAGCCAATCCCAGGGCACACATAGAGGAACAACCATTCGCGCTCACACTCACACCTCGGGACAATATAGAGTGTTCAATCAGCCTGCCATGCATGTTTTTGGAATGTGGGAGGAAGCCGGAGAAAACCCACGTGGGCACGGGGGGAACTTTCAAACTCCACACAGGAAGGCCAGAGCAGAATCAAACCCTGCATCTCTGCACTGTGAAGCGGATGTGCTAACCAGTCGGCCACTGCGCTGCCCAAGTTTTAGATATTGATTAGTGTTAAGCAGCATTGC